GAAGTGGGGCATAAAAACAGTGCTCAAAGAGACCCTCACACTTTCTTCGTTTAGAAAGAAAGATGATTCGTGCTCGAGATCCGGCTGCTACAAGATTGTTTGCTCACGTGGTCGGGGTTATGTTGGTGAGACTTGCCGACCTATTCAACAAAGATTGTGAGAACACAAAAATGCTTGTAAAGGAAGCTGGGTCGAGCGCATGCTGGAAAGTGGACCTCAAATAGAATGGTCTCAAACGAGTAGGCTTGCTGATTTTGGTGCGTCTGTGTTTAAAAGAAAAATAAGAGAAGCTGTTGAATTTAATAGATTAGGAAATACGTTGAATGTGAGGAACGGTGGTAGAAAGTTGAGTAGAAACAAGTTATGCTCGATTGATAGTTTGAAAGGGAGATATGCTTTTGAACCACCATCCAAAAGAAGGTGATCAGAATAAAGATAATTGATGAAACCATTCTGTCAAATGAGACTATATAAGAGGCGAGATAGAGCCGGATAGTATTCTTGGCCTAGTGTTAACTTGACAGTTTTACAAGAATAAGTACCAGCTCTGATGGTAACCATCATTTGATACTGCGTCAGCCTCAACGTCGTGTAAAAGCCAAACATCTGCACTACAACGGGCTTCAACGTCGTCTTTTGGTGAGATCGACCTTTGAATCTCTTCTTCATACACTTTCATACGAAATGAAAGTCCCAACAATAAGTTCAACAGTTGAACGGAACCATTTTGTGTCTTCATCGTTTCGCAAGGTCCATCGCTCAGGCTGGCCGTCTCACCTTCCAGTTCCAGCCGTGCAAATCGGTAGACGGCGTAGGCCCACTCTTGAGCAGCACCAAACGACTGCCACCTACTCATCCCCGGCTGACGACCAGAATGCATTTGAGCGAAAGTCGGGCTATTAACGCTGCTGCCGACCCGCGAGATCACATCCAATGGATGCCATTCTCCATTCGACTCGTCAAAAGGCCCAGGAAGACTGTCATTGACCGGACTCGGTTGTCGTTGACGCTCTTGCCGCTCCAAACCCAGCAGCCCTCAGCGACCTTTTCTTCAGCCTTGATTAAGCAGCACCAGGCTTCCTTTCAACAATGCACAAACCTTTTCGAGGGAAGTCATCTTGCATTCACATAGAGCATGCTTCAACACTATCTCTAAGTGTCGAATCACAATTCTAGCGATCCTAGATTGCATAAGGTGATGAAGGGCTGGTAGCTGAATTTTCCCGCAATCAACCTCATGTTTGCAATGAATTCTACTTAGTATTTGTTCAAAAGGATATTATTCTCTAGGCTAGACTCAGTTTCGACATTTCATGGTTTTTCCGAAGTGTTGACGTGACATCCGCTTATCCGCAAAGCCCTAACCAAACCAACGAAGGTCAGGCAAAATAAAAGGAAACTCAGCAAAAATACACGCATACATACACACACACACATATATATGTATGTGTGTGTGTCTGTGTATATGACTGATTTTCCTTTTATCTTTGCCTGACCTTCATAGTACGATCCCAAAGTTTTGGTACAACACCAAGAACTGTCTTTATTTCATCCTGTCTATAGAAAAAAAATAAAACGAATATTTACTCTGTTGACAACTTCCAATCAAGACAACCTTATTTTTCACTAATATATCAATCATCTAATGTAAATTCACAAATGTAAGGCGGCAAAAGTGTGTTAGTATGTACCGTGATTCACAATGACTCTATGTGGGGGTGTATTCGGCTTATTCCTTTCAAAGCGAGGTCATTTTCGTTTTCCCACAATGCTATGACTTGGGTTCATTTTTCAAGTGAATTTCACATAAACTTACATCCTATAATGCATTCGAATCCGA